GTTTATTTTATAATTTGAGGAAAAGTTATGTGATGCTTCGTTCATTTCGTTATCTTGTTGAAAAGAGGTCTATAGAGTACTAACTCTTAGTGAGCTTTCATGTCTTACCTATAAGCTGAACTTTTAAGATAGCAGTTATTGTAATGACATATGACATCTCAATTGACTTGCCTAAAATCTCGATTATCTAATTTCATGTGAGTATGAAATTTTTTAAATAATGCGATGTTATGACAATATTCTTGAAAGAGATTTTTGATCAGCACAGACAGATCACTGGACTGAATCGTTCGGATCAATAACAACGATAGAATAAGACTGATGAATAACCAGTCAAGAAATCAGATGAGGAATCCTCGAGCATCGACTGATTCGCAGACTGCGGTGCTGTTTCACGTGCATTCACAGTCACACAACGTCCTGTCGTACTTAAATCGACGACATTTTATCGAACGAAAATTTGCTTCGGCCATATCGTTGGCGTGAAAGCGTTGGAGAAATTTCAGTATGAATGTTTTGCGGATAGTCGAAAATGCTTTATTCACGGAATTTTCTGTGTATAGCCGAGATACTGAGAAATGAGAATTAAATTAAAACGTGATTTCGCATCAAATTAAGAATTCATAGAAGAATAACTCATCGACTTGTTGCATATCAACGGTACAATTGAGCCGCATTACCTGTTGAAGATGGTCATCATGAATCCACCGCCAAGACCTGAACTTTGTGGATTGACAACACCTGTACAGATCAGCGCAGCGATTGTGGCATCGATCACATTACCACCCAGCAAGAGAACATCCCTAGAAAACTTAGTATCTGGTCAATTATCGTAGATATCCGGCTCTGTCTCATCGTAGTAGCCAGTCAGCTGCCTGAGTTGGTAAGCAGCAGCTCCTTGCACAGACCAAGAGGACCGTATTGCAGAAAAATATCACAAATACATTTAAGCGTACATAATGATTTGAATAATCGAGCAAAGGGGCCAATTTCTCGCAGTGGATGATATGAGAAATTATTTATTCAATCAGCAAATCCAACTCATTACGACTTTATGCCTCTCTGTTATTAGCAACATCACTGATATCAACAAAACAATTTTTGATTCCCTCAGTGAGAAAATATGAAAAATTGATTAGTTTCGAAATATCTCCGATAGTGTAACGCGAATGAGGTTTAGGGTCTCTGTATAGTCAACTCATCAGAGTCAGGCTGCTTCCTCAATGTAGTAGATAAAGTTGACGATGAACCAAACTTCAAGAAATTATCACTGAAGACAGAAACCTGCCAATTTCACTGCACATTCCATTATCAGTTGCTATTGCAGCTCGTTTGAATCGCCCGTATAAACTTCCGCTTGGTTTTGGCCACAGAATCGGAGGCGTTTCAGTTGGATTGACCACATCGCTAACACTCGAAATAATATTCGATATTGGCTGAAAATGCTCTCATCAAATACCTTCAAACATGACTTCATCTTTCCCCTAGCATCTGTTCAATGTCAATTTCAAACATTTGAACTTGAACACTTTTGATCATTTGTGATTCCTGACTGATCTCCAATAGGCCTCGAAGCGATTTCAAGTCTATAGGAACACGCGTCTACATGTTATGAAAGTTTAATATTCTTCATTCGATGACATCTTCGATGATAAAGGCATTTTCAAGAGACATACATCGGATTTGTTGGGGTTCCTTGATCGGTACTCAAGAATGACCGCAAGAACGATTGTAGAGATGAGGAAGATGATTGCTGCAATCAGAAAAAGTGCTGTCACGATAAGTGGACATCTGAAAAGACATCCTTTATCACTGGCTTTATGAACGTTTCAATATAATACAGTTACTGCGAGCACCTAGCTTAATTCAATGAAATCCAAAAATTGCTCTTCTCAAATGTGAGTTCGACCATACCATTCCCCCCGTGCACTATAAGACTTACTGTAAACATGGGCAATACATAACTCGTGTCGAGAAGAAAGCGTGAAAATAGGAAAATTTTATTTTGTGAAGATGCGAGGAGCACAGTAAATATAGATTATGTAGACATAACAGTACATAAAAAGTTTCAAAAGGTTATACGAAGGAGATTGTTGAGGATTACATAGGATCCACATAAATCTATGAACACCTGCATGATGTAGGCNGAGATTGTTGAGGATTAGAAAGAGTCGACATAAATCTATAACAGCTGCATGATATAGGCATGCACGTGTTGTTTTTATAAAAGACATTATAAAAGTAAACAAGGCGAATATAAAAAACAATCGGGTACATCTCTATTTATATGAATCTTTATATAAAAGTATTTATATGAAAAACAAAAAAGCACGTATTGAAAAAGCACATCTCCTATCTCACATTCAATTTGAGAAGGAGACCTTACAAGCAATAACATTACGAATCGTTAATTTGTTTTTGAAATGTTATGAATGACTGTATTACAAAATTCGACACCATAAAGGCATTTTCCAGAAACATACATCAGATTTGTTGTGGTTTTTTGATCGATACTCAAGAATGACCGCAAGAACGATTATAGAGAT